CCATGGGCGACGCTGATTGCTCACCATCAGGTTAACTGTCTGCTCGTTTGCCTGTCACATAAAACCACCCCTATAGTTGACTGTTTGAGAATGCTCTAAGGTATTAACACCCGTTTCTGAAAGGCTTTTCAACGCTAAAATTAACTAATCTCCTGTTAAATCTCTTGTCAAGTCATCTGATTGGTTGTTGATAATTCAGTCAACCAATCAGATGACTTAACAAGAGATTAAATTGATTTTAACATTGATCGGCCTTTCGGAAACCGGGTGTAAGTCTACTATTCAGACTAGAAACAAATAAATAAATATTTATCCACCTCAAAAACCCAAGAGAACAAACCACAACAGCAAAAGACCTTCCTATATCCTAAACGGTAGAGTTGATACAACCACCTGTTTAGTATTCAAATCGAGTTCACGTTTAGTTACCGGAAATTTGTAACGAAGTACCTGTATGTATGCGGAGAGGAAATAATTGAACTGTTTTGTAGATATTTTTATATTGTACGGTTTAAAAAGAACTGATGTATGATATGATGGATGCCTAATATGTATTATTTATTGTATTTATTACCCTATTTATGCGAATCTATTTGTTTGTGCGTGTTTTTTAAATTTTCTTTCTCCTCTCATTTGTTCTAGGACTATGTGTCCTAGCTTCGCACCAACCGCAAAAATTCTCTGCATTTAGTTAGTTAGGCATTAAGTCCGCCATTCAGACTGTTTTGTGTGAAGAAATAACAAATTAAATAAATAAATAAATGTATCTCTCCATTCAAAAGCGTCAAATTCAAAGCTCAGCTCAGGGCCTCGCAATGAAGGAGGCGGAACGCCTGAGGTAGCTATCCTCCTGCGTACGACGGCTACACTTCGGTCGTCGGGATCGAAAGATGATCTCCGGCCAACGAAGGCGCGGGTCTGTGGACGGCGAGTAAGGGTAGCTCGCCGCCCGATCAGAACCAGACCCGAGCGTACGGCGCGTAGCGGTCCGCTCACGCTTCAAAGAGCCAATAGACCACCACAGACGGGGCCCTATAGGGCTGATGTTCAGCCAGGGTCACGGGATAAAAGCAATGTAACACCGCGACCTCGGCCCAAAGCAGGAGAAGGAACAGGGAGCGTTGAACCACTCCTCAAAGAGAGGTCTTACCGCTGCTATAACAGCGTGCCCGGCCCTCGGTTGCGACAGAAGTTGCTTCCACTCTGCTATGAGATCGTCATCATCCAGGTCTCCCAGTCGGACATATATTAAAAACTACAGTCTATTACAAAGAAAACTAAAGAAATTAACAATAATATTTTTATTAAAATCGTTTTCCCTAGTGGACTCGAATAAAACAGTTGCCTAGCAACGTCGATAACAAGCTATTTTGGGATACGTAATCGCGGACATTGGCTTTGGTCGAAGCAAAGTATTGTACGATTAATTTATAAACATAACGTTAATATTGTAGACATTTTAATTAAACAACCTCACATCATCAGCTCATAAGTGCCTACTGCTGAGCAAAGGCCTCTTCTCACACGGAGAAGGTTTGAGCATTACACCACGCTTGCTCAAAGCAGATTGGCGATTTCAAACTTGTAATTAGCAAGACCAGGTTTCCTCACGATAAATTTCCTTCACCGTATGTCAATGGTGTCTGGTGTCTAAATAATCATAGAAAGTACATATAACTCGGCAAAAGTCACATTGGTATTTACCACGTTTCCAAACCGCACCCTCATGCATGAGAAGCGGACGGACGCCTTAATCTCTTGGCAACCACGACAATTTTTTTTAAACAACATTTACTGAGAACTTTCTAGTTCGTTCTATCACCTTTTATGCGGGGGAGAATCATAAAATGTCATTAATGTCATCGGCTGGGCAAAAGGGAGTATAAGGACTCATTTAGACGCTACACTGTTCTTGGACAAACAATGCTCCTGTTGTCCACAAAAATTGAGAACGAAATCAGCATCGTATTAACAGGGCTACGCACGTGTCCTTTTGAAAAAAAAAATCTCCTGTGTCGTGGGTACTGTTACGGGAGTCCTTTTAGGATACTTTTTAAAAAAGGTTTTTAACACAAATTAATTGGTTTATTAATTAAAAGGACAATAGTAACGAATAATATAGTAATTACGGACAATAGACGACCGTTCCGTAAGGAGATGTTTCTCGGACTGCCAGGGTACTGGCAGGCAATCTTTACATTGGGTGTGTTTTGCTGACGTTGCATTAAATTATCGTAATGATGACGTTGCATTTAGTTACTGTAGTGATGACGTAACACGGTCTCAGCATAAACCCTCCCTTACATGTCGGGGATGTAACAGTGCGTTTACAAACATACAATTTCCCATAAACATCACACACAGACCTGGAACAACAATTTTTGGATCACAGAAAAAGTTGTTCCGTGCGCCGTAACGCGCCAGCCAGTTGCCCATTCACCGCGCCAGTCATTATCATCTTCAGACTCTTACACCCGGTTTCCGAAAGGCCGATCAATGTTAAAATCAATTTAATCTCTTGTCAAATCGTCTGATTGGTTGACTGAATTATCAACAACCAATCAGATGACTTGACAAGAGATTTGACACCTAGTTAGTTGATTTTAACATTGTTTGGGCTTTCGAAAACCGGGCATTACTGACTAAAAACCCACTTCTAAGGAACATTCTAGTCAGATAAATTTTAATTAAATTATAATACAAAGGTTATTTGACTCATACATATATTATTATAATCACTATCAGTCAGTCAGTAAGAGAGTCATAAATCTTTACTTGTCGTCATAATGTGTCTGATAAGGTCAGTGATAAACAAATAAAATATGCTATTTACATCTGACCAATATTATAAACGCGAAAGTCTGTAAGTACGGTTAAGTGTGGGAGAGCCATGCTTCGGCACGAATGGGTCGGGTCGACCGGAGTGATACCATGGCCTCACAGAAAACTAGCGTGAAACAACAGCGTTGTGTTTCACCGTCAGAGTGAGGTTAATGGAGGCCCAATATGACTGCACGGTTGGTGCGGTGGCTGGGCAACTGGCTGCCGTGCAACGTGTCGCGGGTTCGATTCCCGCACGGAACAACACTTTGTGTGATCCACAAATTGTTGTTTCGGGTCTGGGTGTCATTTGTATGTGACATTGTATGTTTGTAAACGCACCCACAACATAGGAGAAAATCCTAAAGTGGGGTAACGTTTAATTTAAAAAAAAAAATCTTCCCCTTCCACAATCGCTAATCCCCGAAAGGTCGGCAACGCAATCGTATATCCTTTCCTTGGGTGTCCATGCACGGCGCCAATTGCTTATCATCAGGCGTCTGCTCGTTCGATATAAAGCACGGGGCACAGATATGTAATCATAATTTAACAATTCGCCACACATCGTAATAACTTAAATGCCTTCGATATGGTAATGGCTTTGCTATTTTTATATTCACGTGATTGCTGTTTGAATATTTATCGGGTTTTTTTTAGTTTACATATTACATAACTACACGTGATAGCGAAACTGGTATACAGACTAAAGAGGCCCTTTATTTTAAAAGCAAGCTTATTTTGGGAATTAGGGTTTCAGAGCTTTTACTTTAACCATCTCTTCTTAAGTTTTTTGTATTACAGGTGGAAGCAGCTTTTGAGACTCCGCTCGGTAGGACTATGTTCCTTCTCCACATGAGACGTTTCCATCATCATCATCATCATCATCACCATCACCATATCAGCCATACGACTTCCACTCCTAAACACAGGCCTCGATCAATAAAGTCCAGATAAGCTGATTACAAACCATCCCTCTCAGAGTTTGGCGATCTGACTAGACATGACGCGACGGTCAAAAAGGTTCAAGTTTACCTGAGAGCAACGTTGCCAGATTTCAAATAAAAAAAAACTCGACTGCACAATTGTAAATACAACATCCTTTGTGTGATCCACAAATTGTCGTTCCGAGTCTGGGTGTTATGTGTATGTGACATTGTATGTTTGTAAACGCACCCACGACATATAAGACACAATCCTAGAGCGGGGACAACATATTATAAAAAAAAACTAATACAATTCCTGATTCTTTTCCAATCCTAATTCAACATGATGATACAAGTAAACATATTGATACGAGTAAGTTTTAAGTGTGGGAGAGCCATGCTTCGGCACGAATGGGTCGCCTCGACCGGAGTGATACCACGGCCTCACAGAAAACCGGCGTGAAATAACCACTGCGTTGTGTTTCGCCGTGTGAGTGAGGTTACCGGAGGCCCAATCCTTCCCCTTCCCCAATCCCTCCTCAATCCCTAAATCTCCAAATTCCTAATCCCTAAAAGGTCGGCAACGCACTCGTAACTCCTCCATTGCGAGTGTATATGGGCGGCGCTGATTGCTTACCATCAGGTAATCCGTCTGCTCGTTTGCCGACCTATTACATAAAAAAAAGTACCTACATTATATGATGACGCCTAAGTATGCTAAGTACAAAAACATTTTTTTCATTTTGTTTCTAAAAAATAACTATTATTTCGTATCCAACGACATAATAATACAAACGGAATCATTTTTGAGAATGTGTGCGTACATAAATATTTGTTGCTCTTTCACTCGAAAACTGCCGAATGGATTTTGATAAAACTTGACGCAGATATTAATATAATGAAATGGAATAGCACACTCTTTTTTATCCGAGTAACTGGCAGTCACTAGTGTCATAAAATACAAAACCCAACACTATTACCACAGAAAGAAGAAAGAGAAAAAAACACCAAAAAAATCGTACCGAAAACTCATAAACGCGCTATTAATGTATGATCAATCATCAATTGCCGATATCCACGTGTCCCTGCTAAAACTATACATAAAAAAACTCATACCAAATATATCAAACGCGATCCCGCTGGCAAACATCCAAGGAAAGAAAGAAAAAAACACTTTCAATCTCACAAGTCAACAACATCGAATTGTAAACAAAGAAACTATAGGTACAGTATAATATAATAATATAATTAAATTACCGAGTTCATCCACAGGTACCGATGTTAATGGCTCCATAGCCATTTTTAAAACGAAACACAATAGCACACACTGTCCACAATAACAAAAAAAAAACCAATGAAAAACAAAATCTCACAAAAAAATATTTTTATCAACTGGGTAGCAAAGTTTGATCGGAGCGATACGTGCGCTCCGCTCGACGCCTGGCGCGATACTGAAGCACGATTCGAATTGAGAACGCAAACGCATGGTCCGGTGAGTAAACAAAGCGTTGCGCGGGCGCATGTCCGCACAATAGATAGTTACAGAAGGCTGATCTACGTACACACATGCATGTACTCACGTATTTTGTATTCAATAGAAATTACGAAGCGAGAAATAACATCTACTACGCTGCTTAAACTTCTTTAGATTTTAAAACACTTATACATTCGGTCATTCGTTAGCCAGTTAAAAGTTCATCGCACCTGGCCCTTTCTGCGTTCCTTTATAAAAGAGATTAGTACATTATAATTTAGCTACCTTTTTCTTTACAATTTCCGCTCATTCTTCTAACATGTCCAAACTTATTTACTGTAGATCCTGGCTTACAGGAGGTGTATTTGTATTGTGTGGTTGCAGCAAAATCGACAACTTTGATGACCTTTGTAAGCGATCGTATGTTGTGTTGAGGACACCAATTTTATTTTGAGGCCAATAGCCAGTATCTCTTTCTTGATAAATTTTAATTTCTGGGATCACTACATATTATTCGCTTTCTTGTCACAATGGCCCTATGTACGCTTAAATCGTTAAAACTACGCAACGGATTTCGATGCGATTTTTGTATAGACAGGGTGATTGAAGAGGAACGTTTATACGTATAATAACATCCATTAAATAATGGAGAAATTTAGTATCAGTATTGCTCTTGTGCGAAGTCGCTAATAAGAAAAAGCCGTAAAAACAATAAAGGATACGGATATACGGATACTGCCAAGAACTTAGGTGTTCATATTGACTGCAACCTTTCATGGGGTGGTCAGGTAAGTGAGGTTAGTCGCAAGGTGCATTTTTCCATGCATTCACTAAAACGCCTACAGTCTCTCTTGCCACTAAAAACGAGGATCCACCTGGTGCAGTCTCTGATACGTCCTCTGATTGACTATGCAGATGCTTGCTACTTGGATGCCACTGAGGAGCTTTTAAATAAGCTTGAGCGATTGCAAAATGTCTGTATCCGATTTGTCTTCGGTTTGAAAAAGTATGACCACGTCTCTGAATTTCGCAAGAGGCTCAAGTGGCTCCCGATTCGCCTTCACAGGAACACTCGCATTCTATGCCTCCTTTACAATATCTTGTATAATCCAGATTATCCCAGTTACCTTCGCGAACGTTTCTCCTTTGTCCGGCCTCCTGAGGTCCTTTCTCGAACGCATCTCAAATCCCTTCTTTCTGTTATACCGCACAAAACTGACTTTTACTCTTTTTCCTTCTCTGTCCACGCAGTAAGATTGTGGAATTGCCTTCCGCCTAGCGTACGCGATGCTAAGTCCATATTTGTATTTAAAAACCTTCTTAAGGAACACTACCTTTCTTCTTGCAGTGCAGAGTAGTTATGTTCATGTTTATATATTATATGTTATACTTTAATATATGTATATTATTTATGTATATGTATATATACTTATACGTTTTATTTTATTTCTGTAGCTCTAGTTTTAGTCTTAGGTTAAATTATTGTTTTGTTTATTATTTCCTATTTCTCTTTTTCCTGTTGTTTTAGTTTATCACACAGTGTCTTATGTCTCTTACATTTTTCCTTTCGAAGGACTGCAGGAAGAGATTCCATATAGGAATATGCAGTACCTATGTACCTCTGTCTCTGTATTTGTTCTCTATTTACTGTATGTGTGATGCGCATAAATAATTAAATAAATAAAATAAATAAAAAGGATATTGTGATCATTTTGCATTGAACAATTGGGACTAAAAACTAATTCCGTTGCAGTTGTGCGATTTGCTGACGCATATATATCTGACATTGTGTGACTGAAAATATCTTTGACGGCTGAAAGTCAAAGAACAATGCAATCTGTGCTTTGTACTGTTACTGTATTGTAGGGTTAGCGAAACAAAGTGCTATTGAATTACCTGTTTTGTGATTTTCACTACAACAAACTAAAGTACATAAGGGCATTTTTGCTACGTTCCTTTGTAAAATGGTGAACAAAGACTTTAAATGGACAGTTATCGCAGTGGAATTTTTGGACTTGGAGAGTTTTAGGCTTTTATATTTTAGTGAGTTTAAATTTATCGAAAGTCAAGGGACATCTAACAGCACACATTACAATAAAGTTACCCCAGTTCTCATCGCAATTAGACCAGGTACGAAATTCCTACAATGGTCGGGCAATAGCCCGCCAAACACAACAACTCGTCTGGTCGGAGGATCCTCCCTTTTCAATGGAGGCTGAGGAACTTTACACCCTGTTCTCACATCCCTCGAAAACTCATTCCGCGCTGGGTGACACGAGGAATGTCACACTCTTACTGACTACAAACCACCCCTTACTAAAAGTCCTGCTCCGAAATGAACTGCGTGATAGTTGAAAAGCTGGAAAGTTACTACTGTTTTCTTTTTGCCACACAGGGAAAGCAGGTAAAGTTGCAGATCACTGATAGAGCCAAACAGGTATGTGAAATTGATTGAAAAAGAGTAACCATGGAGTTTCTTGCTCGTTCTTTTCCACTGGTACACTTTAGAATGAGCAAATAGTTTCACTAAGAGGACTCACCGACAGACTGCCATTTTTTATCTTTAAGCTTTGTTTGACGTTCAAAAGTGCCCTTCAGGTCTTCAGTTCTTTTCAGGGTCGATTTTGAGCGTGAGCAAGCAATATAACGCAATAATGCACCACGTGATTTAGTCAGTAAGTCTGACACACCCTTAAACCCGCGGCTGAAGATATCATAAGAGGATTTCATCCCCCAAAAAGGTGTAGCTTGTAAAGTTGCGGACACTAGCTCGTCTTCCGGAAGTTCTTGATAGGTTTATCAATTTGATAGCGGTTATAAAGATACGATATTTATGAATCAGCTAAGAACGAAGCAAGATCACTTTATCATACGATCTTATAAACAATATCTAATTTTAGCAATTTGCAATATGTTTACAAGCTACCTATGACGAAGGAAGTAATAAATAGAGTATTTTATTGTCAATTTTATGGTGTTATAAACATCTTTTTGAGATGTTTCTACACAATATGATAAAGAACTTCTAACTAAACATTTTGGCTATGAAATAGGAAGACCAACCAACAGACGGATCACACAAGCATCGAAGTCGCCAACACCCATAGACGCCGCCGCAATACCAGAAGAATTATAAGTAAGTGCATTGCCAGCTTTTTGTGGATAGAAATGGGAGAGAGATTGGCCGTCCAGCAATCCAACCTCGTCCAGCAAACGCAAAGGTACGGCTTCGGTCTGGAGCAAGAGAAAGATCGGTGTGGTTTTTAGCCAGTAAGAGTCTGACACTCTAGGTCACTCTTGGCGATAGAAGTCATTCGTTGATATTCCCCATTCAAAAATACCGATGTTTCACACCATTTTTAGCAAAGCTGTGGTATCACTGCAAACGAGCCAGCCGACAGCCCATCCAGGGTTAAGGGGTAAGAACAATGAGGCACCGTGGTTTCAGTCCTTCCTCTCACCTCAACCTGGGCGGGAAAAATCATTTAAAGACTTTGTAATATGAATAAAAGACTTGGATCTTGGTTACTATGACATTATTATCACAGTACACAGTTGGGCAACTCACTGCACTAGAACTTCATTGTCAATGGTCGACACTATCTCGACCACCTTATTTATACTACACAATGACAATGAGATTGACAGTTCTAGTGTTACAGTAATTATTTTGACTAATTAGAGATGATATAACAGATATTCCCTAACAAAAAAAATAAAAAATAAAAAAGCCACAACGTTGTGTTTCGCCGTGTAAGTGAGGTTACCGGAGGCCCAATCCTTCCCCTACCCCAATCCCATCGCAATCTAAAAATCCCCAAAATCCCAATCCTTAAAAGGTCGGCAACGCACTCGTAACTCCTTCTTTGTTGCGGATGTCCATGGGCGACGCCGATTGCTTACCATCAGGTAATCCGTCTGCTCGTTTGCCGTCCTATCACATAAAAAAGAAAAAAAAGAAAGAAAAAAAAGCCCACAGCCCATTTGTGACCAGATGGACATACGTGAGAGAAATCGCGTATCAGCAGGTGAATTAAAACGACAATTACTTCTGACCCGATTGCTTTACTGCGAACTGCGAATCTTATGTGCCTACGTGATAGTAGACACGATTAATTGGACCTCAGTCGCCATTTTAGCGACCGTTTTTTTTTTCTAACGGTTGTAAATTTTTATGACCAAGATGGGTTAGTTTTTGGTTGACTTTAGACTATAGTAATCAACCAAAATATTCTTATTTCACTTGCCTATATTCCAAAACGTAATCCCGTACAAAATTGGTAGAAAACGTAATAAACTCACGTGTTTTTTTGGCAATTCGGAATGAATTAGAACTATTTTCTAGTGCCCAAATTGTGTTAGAAATTATCAATAATTTATGTTAATAAACCCCCTACCACATATAGGGTCTGGATATGACGTGTATGTAAAATTGAATGTTTTTAAATGCACACACAACACCGCTGGAAATCCTATTGTAGAAAATAGATTAACAGAAAATGTGTTTACCTAACTGGTAAACATCGGGGATAACCTTAAAATGCTCACCTCCGATCAAATAATCAAACTCATTGTTCAAAACAGTTTCAGCGAAAATCTAAAAAGTTACGATAAGAATTTCTCTTCCTTCTTCTCCATACGAATCTACAATACGGAACGAGCACCTAGCTTCACTGACTGACAATTGGGTAGTTTCCTAGGTCAAAAATAAATTATTTCGACATTTCAATATAATAAAATATTGAAAAATAACTATACTTTTATTCATCGATCGATCGATATACTAATTTTTAGATTTTTTTAGCTAATTATTAAGAAATAAGTAAGCTATTTGACGCAAAAAGTTATGACGTCATAGCTCAGTTTTTCATACAAATTTCATAGAAAATGATCGTTTTTGACGGTCGGATAAAAGTATTGAATTTGACTAGTTGGAAACTACCGTATTTACCTTTACATTTCTAAAGTGCTTGTTCAAGAAATAAAAATGTTATGAATGCTTTGCCATTCTCACCGAAACCCATCACATCTTTTTAAACTCCATTCTTTTTTTTATCTTCTTTAAAAAGTTGGGCTGCATCTCAACTGCATCGGACTTTAAATTTTCTGCCTACGTGACCGTACTCCCGTTTGGGGTCAAGAACCTGGTTATTTCGGGCACCCAGATCACCCAGTTTGACCTCA